TTCTAAATTTTTTAGTCATTCGTGCGGGGGCTCGAGGGATTAGCTTTATAGGGTTTAGTTAGCTTTATAGAGTTTAGTTAGTACGGGGGATGCCTACGGGCGGGCACCACTCTGCCCCTTTCTACAAAATTTTAGCAATTTTCTCCCGCCTTTTGAAATCCTCAAAGGCTTATATAATACCGGCCGAGTGGTACTTTGCTACTGCTGTTTTCGAGCTGTAGCTTAGTAGTTTAATTGACGGTTCGCTGCACCTGGTCGGTACACAAAAATACGGAGGAGTAGGGAGGAAATGGCGGATTAGAACATTCAACATTCATCTTAGCGTGCACTTACGTAATTTTTCATATATGAGCGTACTATCGTTGACTATGATTCGTATAGGGGGGGAAAACGGGATAACTCGAGGCAGTGAGCGGGGCTCCGCGTTCCTGGGACCTTCGGGTATATCGTGACGAAAAATAAAATTCCCTTGCTCAGAAGCGAAGATAGAGAAAAATACTTGTTTGGGTTGCATTTAATCAATGTTTTATGTCCCGAGGAAAGATAAATTCAGCATAAAAAACATCACAAACACCAAGCATTGACGGCAATGCAAACATTGACTACTAAACGAGCTGCCCACGGACAACAGCCATTGACCAAAGGCAACATAAACAACAAAACGAGCCTTAAACACCAATTAATTACAACAAGGTCGGAAAGTATTCCTATTCAACTTTGTCTGAGCGGCGCGATCGGTGAGGGGGCCCTGTGCGATGGTCCTCTCCTGTTTTTCTTATAGCTTTTATGCTTAAACTGCGCATTTTTGTAGTAATGCATATTAAAAACGGAATTATATTACATAGAAAATAGGAAGGGTTTATTCTTTCCCTTATTTTCTTCATTTGTTGCAGCAGCAATGAGAAAGAACGCCTAGGGGAGCGGCTGGTGGTCTGGGGCTGCGGTTGCTAAGGTTGCTTTGCGTTTCTTTGCCGCTCAAAGGTCCTGTTTTCTCTTTAGCCATTCCCATCTTTTTTCCTTTTTTTCCCCTCTATAGTGCTCCCCTGCTTCCTGCATGGACCTGAAACCCTCAGCAGCCACCAGCAGCACCATCACCACCTCAAACAGCTGGCCTCCTTCTCCTTTTCTATTCACATAAAAGGAGGCTCTCTAATACCAGCAGAAGCAGCAGCAGACGCTGAAATGGAACTCGCTGAGTCAGTCTGTACGCAGGCCTCTGCAGATGTAGAGAGCGGGACTGCACGAGGGCACCCTGCCTCTGAAGAAGGGGGCCCCCCGTCCCCTTCTGCTGGTGCAGGTGTTGCACCTGAGGGCCCAGGCTGCTCCTCTTGTTCTCGGGAAGGGCAGGCGCAGCCGGCTTACTTCTCTCGGTTGTGCGTACAGCTGGTGATTGTCGCTGCTGCCGTGGTATGGGCGCTTGTGCTCCTGGTTCGCCGCCCGGTAGTGAGGGGGGCTTTTTGCAATGACAGGGATATCTCCCTTCCTTATCTTAGTCAGTCTATCTCTTCTCTGGATGTCTTCTGGATCGGCACTGCCTTGCCGGCCTTCATTATCATCCTGGTGGAGCTGCTGCTCTCAGCTGTGCGTGCTACGCAAGACAAGGAGCAGCAGCAGCAGCAGGCGGTAGTGGTGCTACGCAGAAGAATGCCTGAGACTGTTGTGCAGATATACACATACTGCGGCGCTCTGGGTCTGTCTTCTGCTTTTGTTTTTCTCGTAACTAATGCTATAAAAGCAGCTGTTGGGTCTCTGAGGCCGCACTTCCTGGCAGTGTGCCTCCCGGACTGGAGCAGGGTGAGGTGTACAGACAGCAGCGGTTTGCATGAGGTGTACGTGGACGATTTCTTCTGCACTGGAAAGCCCAGCTTGATAGAAGAGGCGAGGCGTTCCTTTCCCTCAGGTCATACCAGCTGCAGCAGCTGCGGCTTGGTGTTTGCTGTTCTTTATCTACAGTACCGGCTGGTGTGGCAGCAGGGAAGCACCGCTCCTAAGCGGCACCTGCGGCAGAAACAGACGCGTTGGGGCGTTGCTGCAGAACAACTTTATTGGGTATTACAAGCAGCTGCTCCTTTGGTGCAGTTCGTGCTGCTGATGCTTGCGCTGTACGTACCCTCAACCCGGGTCGTTGAGCACTTTCACAGGATCGGAGATGTACTTGCAGGGATGGCTATCGGGGTTTTCACGGCTCTATTCGGGTTCTTCTTCGTCATCTATCGGGCTAGAGGCAGATGCATGCGTGCATGAACAGAAGAGGGGGAACAGCAACTGCTACAGCGGCAGCAGAGGGAGGAGCTCCAACTACAGGTGTAGCAGGAACAAGAGTAGCAGCAGCTGCAGGAGCAGCGGCCGCAGCGGGAGGAGAAAGAGCAGCAGCGCGCAGGTTTGTTTGCTTTTTAGTTTTTTTGCCAAGTATTTGTCAGTGTGGTTTGCAAGGATGTTGCAGCATCCGGTCAAGCAATCAAAATAATCACCTCCGCTTTACGCTTCGTTTCTGTTTTTTTAAAGAGCGAAGAAGATGCAGTTTGTTATGCAAATGTTGGTAAATAACAGTTGAGCATGGAGAAACAAGCGGGGTCTTTCTTCTTTACTGGCGTGCAGTGAGGCTGCGTGTACGTACAGCAGGTACGACGACAGTCTCAGTGCAAAAATCGGAAGGGACACAGCTTGTGTTTTATTGCGTCGAAATGGCTTTGAGTTCACACAGATTAGAAACAATAGTTGCAGGCCACCGGTTCTAAGAAGCACTAACGGAGTGAGAAGAAAGAGATGGCCGGACGGTATAGAGGTTGGTGGTAGATTAGTCGCAGGTATTTATTTAGGCTTTACTACAGTTTAGGGTTTGTTAGGATTGAGGAGGCAGCAGATGCTGTGGTTTATGGCTTGCTGCTGTGAGAGCGTTTCTGAACGAATGCGTACAGCTGATCGCTGACAGCTGCAGCAGGAAGGCTCCCGTCAATGCGTTGCAGCAGCCCCTGTTTTTCGTATCTACTCACCAGGGGAACCGTCTGGCTGTTGAACACCTGCAGGCGCTTCTTAAGAGTTTCTTCGTTGTCATCCTTCCTTTGAACCAAATCCTCCCCTGTAACCTGAAAAGAAGAAAGAGCAGCAAAGACACACGCGAGAGGGTTCTCGCCACTGGCAGAAGAATTATATTACTGTATATTGCTGTACTATATATTTTACTATTAAAGTATTGTCAAGTAAGTGGGTTGATTAATTAACGTGCAGCTGCTCTGAAATTGAGAGCAGCCGAAGAGTACTCCTTTTGCGTATCATGCGGAGACGGCGCCAAAGACCCAATGCACTTGCTATGTTAAAAATATAATGCAATAGAACAATCATGCCTCACGTCGTCCTTGCCAGGCACCTTAGGGGGCCTGAAGACCGTATGATAGACGCGTCCACTCGCAGGATGAATGCGGCGGCCGCAGATTCTCTGAACGAGGGTTTCCTCTGGGGTGTCGAAGAAAACGACACCGTCCAGCTTCTGCTTTTGTGAAGCGAGGAGCTTGTCCAGCTGAAAATGCAGGGAAAATGCAAAGATGAACCAACGAAATAAACGAAGTGCTTGGAAGGGCTTTCCACACGTGAGAAGCGGCATGAAAGAAATATTATTGAGAAACACTGGCGAGAGAATCAAGGAGCTTCCCCAGCTGAGAATACCGAAAACAGAAAAAACTAAAGGAAGACAAACGAGCTGCATGCAATCTAACGCAGCATAGCAACATACACAGCCCGCTGAAAAACACCCAACAGCTTGAAGATATATAAACGCACATATAACTATATATATATATATAAATGTATATAAACAGCTCGTCGTACTGCCTTTGCCTGTTCCTGATTTCTTGGATATCCATCTAAGATGAATCCTCTCGAACACTCGGGGCTTTTAATTCTTTCGGACAGCAGCTGAAGGACCAAATCGTCAGGCACCAACTGGCCAGCAGCCATTATCCCCTTGGCCTGATGTTTTTATGCATTTCCATAACAACACAGACAAAAAAGAACACAAGCACAGCAACAATGATGCCACTAGCCTCGCACTTTCATGCATTTCAACAACACGAGCGGAAAACACACGAGGAGAACCCAGTAGCCGTGATCCCATCGAGCTGATGTTTGATGCATTTCAACAACAAAAAAGACGCAATAAGAGCTCAGCATCGGGCAATCCTCTTGGCCTGGGATTTTGATGCATTTTAAGAGCAACACACACGAAAAATACAGACGAAGAATACACCACACAAATTGACGGCATTCAAGCAGGAGAGAATTCAAGTGCTGGAGCTTTCGAGTTTCTCCGAAAGGAGCAAATAGGAAGAAAAACAAGCAAGAAGAAAGAAAAGAAGAAAACGGAGAAAAAGCAGGTGGAGGAAAAGAAGCAGAAGAAAAAAAATAACAGCAAGTCGGAAAACAACACGAACAACGAGAAATAGGACGACAGAGCAGCAACAACAGCAAAGCCAACAACAAACAACAGCAGAAAACCAACTACTGCAATAACAAAAACACCACCAGCAAGAAACGACATGAAGAACAAGAACATAGCTAACGAGGAGAAGAATACAATGAACAAAGACAGCAAGAACATCAAAAACAAGAAGAACCGACAGAAACACCTGGACCAACGACAACAATAACAAACAGCAAGAACCAGGACGGCAAGGAGAACAACGAGAACAACATGAGAAAAACGATAAAATGATTAAGAGAACGATACCTTCTGTCCTAATTCTGTGCCTGCTGCAACGGCCTCCCTGAGCATATCTCCAGTGGAGATGTGGCAGTAGCAGTGGGACTTCTGTAGGTTGGCGCTTTGAGTGCCTTTTCCTGAACCGGGAGCCCCTAGAAATATGTACCTAAAAGACAGGAGGCAAATAAATAAATACATAAAAGCGGTAAGCAAACAAAGAAAAGGAAAATAGATAGACAAACAGAGAAACAAGGCAGAAAAAGGAAACAAATAAGCAAAAGAATGAAACAAACAAACACACACACAAAACAGATTAAAATAGAACGAACAAACAAAAAACCTTCGCCCCCTTTACTTAACAAGCAAGCAGAAAATAGGCAGTGTGATAGCCAATTTTTCTGGTGCTCCATGCTTTTATAATGTCCACAGCACCACATTATTCTACTTGTGTTGCTGCTGCTGCCACTACTGGTGGTGCTGCTGCTGCGGAAGCAGCTTGTGCTGCTGATGCTGGTGTATTATATATGACCCACCGGCCTTCTGGTTTAGAGAGGCAGCTGTATCTTCTTTTGAGCTCCTCCAACAAATCGGTGGTGGAGACCTTATCTAGCGAGACGCCAGAGCTCGCCATCGTGCCGTAGCTGCAGACACCAGCAGCAGTAGCAGCAGCAGCAGCGGGAGGAGGAGGGAGGGCGACTAACGACTGCCGAAGAAGATAGAGGGACTAGTTGGTACATCAGGAATTGAAATACACGCAAAAGGGTTCTAAAAGAATTAAAAAGGAAGGCAACAGGCGGTGTTCGTGAGAGAGGCAAAGAGAAAGAAACGGCCGCACAGTGGCTGCTGGCTGCAGCACCGCCACTTTCTAACTTGTGGCATTTTTAATGTTATTTCATCGTTGAGGCGTAGGGTGTATTCTCATCATCATCGAAAACATTTCCTTTGGATTAAAATCATTAGTCAATCATACACAAAGAAACAAACAACTCTCCAGACATTCTCCAACACCGTCTGCTCGCTCGCTTGTTTGCTTCCTTTTCTCTTTGTTTAGCTGTCTTTTTGCTTGTTTGTTTGTTTGCTTGTCTGTCTGTTTACTTGTTTGTCGGTGTGGTGTGCAGGGGGAGGGAAAGGAAGGCCCACCTCCAGGCGCAGGAGAGAAGTGAGGTGAACACGGGGAGAAAAACCACTAATTTAATTATAATAAGTACAAGCTCCCGCTGTAGAATCAGAAAAAAGCCAAGAGGGCCTCTCACGATTCCTGCTACGGGGGCCCCATCTCTCCTGGGGCCGGAGCCGCATGCACCAATGGCATATGTAGGCGAAGTGGTGATATATGAGAAGAATTTAACCAAAAATTGATTAAAAACATATATTAAATAATTAATTAGACAAACCGAATTTATGCAGTCGACAAGAGGACGGTGAAGGCTGGAGGGCCGTACCGCACAAAAACAAACAAAGCCAATATAATAACCCCCTAATAGACTCCAACTGAGAAATAGAAAATCAATCGCGAGTTGAATAATCTGTCTGTGAACCTCTATTGAACAACCTATCAATGCCTATTACACATAGAAACATATATATATGCATACACATATATATATATATATATAATGACTATTACGTATGCAAACATATATATATATATATATATATATAATGCCAATTAGCAGCTGCAAGTACTGACCCATAAGCACCCAGTCGAGGAAGCCGGGGTTAAACTGCTAGGGACTCGCGTACTTGGTTGCTGCCCCTGTTTGCTGCCGAGTGTAGGCACTTCTAGCTAGGTAATATTCATATTTCTTGCTTTGTTAATGCTATAGTTATCAAGCTGTTGTATTCAGCAAATTGTTACACTAACAAAATCGTTCAACTTGCAAAGTTCTGTCTTCGGTTTCGTTTGTTCGATTTGCAGCGAAGCCGCAAAACGACGCCTCCAAAGAAAGAAGAAAGACCCATGCCCCCATGTACAGAGTATAAATATATATATGGTAATAGATGTACATTTTAGTAGTTATATTACGTGCATATGCAGAGAGGCAGCACTGCCTTCTATCTACTTTTGTTTTTTTCGTTTTAAAGCCTTAGCCCTTCCTGCAACTCCCAATGAAAACTCTGCATGTCCAGGCGATCGCTCCCAACCGCACCATCTGCTATGGCCCCAACCTCTGCAGCAGCAGCAGCTAATGCTGCTTCTGGTGCTGCTTTTCCGTCCCCTGCTGCTGGACCTCGCGCTGCTTCTGCTGTGGCTGTCTGCATCCGTCAAAGGACCCAAAGCCGCATGTCCCTTGGTCGTGTTGCTGTTGCTACAGCAACGAACGCTCACGCGGCTTCAGCTGCTGGTGCTGTTGCTGCTGTTACTGGCAGCAGCCAGCTGCTGCCGCGACTACCCTTAAGAGAGTAATGGTGCAGCAAAAGGATACAATGAAGACAGACAGCCGCACGAGGTGGGGTTGAGCAGCAACGGCCGTATTTGCTGCTGCAGCAGAAGAGAGCCGCAGCAGCCCGGGCCTCCTTGCCTGCGAGTCGTCAGCCTGTGGCGATGGGGAGAACAGCTTTGTTGCTGCCCAGAAGAGGCGTTCTAACTTACTGATGCTGCTGCTGCTGTGCTCCGACAGCTGCTCCGCCAGTGACAGCAGCAGCAGCAGCGGCAGCGGCAGGTACAGCAGCACCCCACACACCCAACACAACACTGTCCAACTCGCTGGGCCGTAAGGGAAACCGAGGGCCTCAAATAAACGTCGCGGGGAAGCCTCCTCGCGCAGCATCGTGTTCACTGCTGCGCCGATACCAAGACAGACTGCAGACAAATCCACACGCTGCTTCAACTTGCTGGTGCTGATGCCGGTGCTGCTGCTGCTGCTGCTACTGCTGGTGGCTGCTGCATGCAAGCCATCTGCAGGCTCGGGGATAAGAGAAGGAGCCCCTGGACTGACCTCCTGAGGGCCCTCTTTGCTTCTGCTGGGGTTGGTGCTGTTGCTGCTGCTAGAGGTAGCTGCTGCTGTCTCTACCCCATGCACAATACGCATGCGCTGCGCCTGCCGCGCCAGAAGCCTCTCCTGCCTTGCTGCTGCACGCTGCCTGAGCAGGGCAACATGTTCCTGCTGCTGCTGCTCGTGCTGGTGTTGCTCCTGCAGCTGCTCCCGTTTCGCTTGTCCCTGCTGCTGCGGTATGTGTTGATGTGGCGGCTGCGGCACTGCAGCCGCAGCAGACGCCTCTTCTGCTTCCATGGCTTCCATGGCAGAAGCTCTGCTGCTCCCGCTGCCGCCCTCCCTGTGTGAGTCGGAGAGGACACCTGTAGAACCATACACAATGCAGCAGCGACGGCAATTGCAGCAGCGCAGCAACAACGGATAACTTCTTCCCCCTTGGCAGACACACCTCACGAATCACTCCTGCAATTTCTTCTTTAATTCCCCCGCAACTCCATCTGAAGTGTAAAAGCGCGCCGATTCATTGCCCCTGCATGCCTGGGCTTGCAGCAGCAGCAGCAGCGGCCGCTGCTGCCGGTGGTGCTCGTCGTGCTGCTGCTTGCGCTGCTGGTGCCTCGATGGGTTTTGTTACTTTGTTCAGCCGTTTGCATTTGATGGTCTTCATGACGTTCTCGTAAATAAACAGCAGCAGCTGCTGCTGGGCGACCTCTGCTGCTGTTGCAGTGGCAGCGGCAGCAGCAGCAGCAGCAGCAACTCAATGGTTTGCTGCGCTTTCGCACTTTGTGTCCGCCTCTTTTGTTTTTTATTGTCTTTATTTTTCGCCCTGTGTGAAACGGCACGGGAATTCTGTCCCTCTGCTGTGGCAGCAGCTGCAGCAGCAGGTTCGGCAATACTGCAGCAGCAGCTGCACCAGCAACTGCAGCAGCAATAGCAGCAGGACCAATGATTTGGCACCGATGCCGGCAGCAGAATTCATTTTTCGTTTACTCTTCTCACCTGTACGTCCTACGGGATCGGCACTGCGACCAGCTGCTGCTGGGGGAGCACCACCGGCAGCAGAAACCTCTTCCTCCTCCTCAACGGCAGAAGCAGCGTGGGTAGCAGGACAACACATTTGTAGCTTCTGAAGAGCAGCTTGCGAGGGTTAAAGCTGCTGCCGCCGAGTTGACTCGAGTGAAGGTCCCTGAGGTTCTAGAGGACGGCAGCAGCAGAAACGGAAGACACAGCCGCAGCAGCAGCAGCAAGGCCAAATGGGGGCGGCTTTGAGTTCTGGGAAGCATCCCCTAATAGATTCTTCACTCGTATTTCCGGCTCCTCCTTCTTCGTACAGCTGCAGCAGCGACGGTTTGCTGCTGTTGCGCTCGCGTTTTGCTGCTGCTGCTGGGGCCCCAGCTGCAGTGCCTGCGTTCCTTGTGGTGCCGTCTCCTCAGTCTCACCTCAAACTTGCTGCTGCTCTGAGGACAGCTAAACTTGCTGCTGCTGCTGCAGAGGCAACCGCGGCAGCAGCAGCTGCCGCTAGTGGCCTACCGCCACAGCAGCAGCTACGCCGGCGGAGCAACATTGAGGGAGCGTGCGCAGCAGCAGCAGCTGCAGCAGCAAGAGCAGCAACGAGTGATGAGGAGAGTGAAAGGAAGCAGCAGCTGCTGCAGAAGCTGGAGCAGAAGAGGAAAGAGTTGCAGCAGCATATGCTCCTGTTGCAGCAGCTGCACCGCCAACAGAAGCAGCAGCGAGTGTTGCGCCGCCGACAGCCGCGCAAAGCAGCGCCTTCACATGCACTGGGCTCAACAGCAGCGGCAGCAGAAGCAGAAGATGAAGAGGGGGAAGCATCCGCTGTCGAAAGAGCAGCAGCAGCAGCAGCTACCGCAGATGCGCTCGAGGCAGCTGCAGACTCCACGAGTTCCGAAGCAGCAGCAGCCGCAGATGAGGGTGCCACAGGAGCGGCAGCACCTGCAGGGTCAGGAGAGGCAGCACCGGCAGCAGCAGCAGCAGCAAATGGCAGCTATTGGGATACGGAGGCCTCGGGAGGTCGCAGGGGAAGCGATTACTGCATTCTGTATTTCCATGGAAACGCATGCGATGCAAACATGGTTAGAGGTTGGCTGCAAGTCGTCGCTGATGAGGTAAGGGGCTGTTGCTGATGCTTCTGGTGCTGCTGCTGATGCTCCTAGTGCGGCTTCTGCTGCTCCCGTTGCTGCGGATGCTTCTGGTGCGGCTGCTGCTGATGCTGCTACGGACACTGCTGCTGCTGCCGATCCTCTGGATGCTCCTGATGTGGCCGTTCTTTCAGATCGTGCTGCTGCTGCTGTAGTTTTTGCCTTTGGTGCTGCTCTTTCTTTGTTCTTCCGCGCTTTTTTGTTTGTTTTGTGTTTGTCTTTGCTGTCTTTTTGCGTTGTGTTGCGTTGTGCATATTCGTTTGTTGTTGTAGAACGACGTGCCATTTGCATTGTGTTTATGTTCATATTTGTGTTGCTTTTTATCTTTTTCTATATGAAAATATAGATATATTATGATGGTTATGTTGATGTTTCTGTGACTGTTCATGTTGATGCTTCCCGGGGAATTCCTGTTCCTGTTTGTGCTTTTAAAATGCCTTCTTTTGTGCTGGTGTTCATGTTCCTGTTAATGTTTACGTTTCTGTCTGTGTTCATGCATATTGATGTTTCTGTTTATCATTCTGTTTCTGTTTCGTTGTCGTTTCGGTTCCCGTTCAGTTAGGCCTCCCCATTTTGGTGTTTGAATATCCGGGGTACGGCCTTCTCTCTGGCCTTCCTTCTTCTTCTGCTGGGGTCGACCGCTGCGCTAAAGTTGCCCTGGAGTTCCTCGTTGAACAGTTGCAGTTTCCACCTGAAAAAATCATCCTTTGCGGCAGGTGATTCAATAAGCGCTAATTGGGAATATGAATCCTAGCGCCGATAATAATAATCCCCAACTAGAAAATACAGCCCAACACACCCTAGTAAGCTTTTTGCAGCGCACGCCTCATGCAGACCGACGCATTGCAAATGAGTCCCCACGCTTTATCTCTTTCGCTCTCGAGGCTCGAAGGCTTACGGCTGATTTAGGGCTTAGGGTTTAGGGTTTGGGGCGTGGGGTTTGTTGGCAGGTCTATAGGGACAGGGCCTGCTGCTTACTTGGCCTCGCGTTTGGCCAAGTGCAATTTGCAGTTGGGGGGCCTCGTCCTCATCTCGCCTTTCGCGTCTTTGGCGGTAAGCTGCAGCAATTGCTCTACCTAACAGGCGACGGTCCCAGCTAGCCGCAGGAAAAGATCCCAGCTAACTGCGGGAGACGATCCCAGCTAGCTGCACGAGGCGATCCTAACTAGCCGCAGAATATCCGAGCTAGCCTCCAGAGTCGATCCACGCTGGCTGAAGGAGACGATCCCGGGTGCGCGTTAGGTGTCTATACACTGCGATGCTGCAGGCACTGGCGGCGGATATGGCGGAGCTGCCTGAGCCGTTGGCCCGCCTGGTGGTGACACACCACTGGGACACAGAGGCGGCCTTGCAGCAGTGTCAGGGACTGCCTCTCTGCATTATTCACGGCCAGCAAGTAAGTTTGCTGTTACTGCAGCCCTCCTGCTCACCTGCTTGAGTGGCGTGGCCTTGCTGCTGTGTCTCGCTGTTGATGATCCTGCTGATGTTGTGGTGATCTTTTGTTGTTCTCTTGCGCGGTTCGTCCGGCGCTGTTGCTCCGACTAACTAGTCCCTCTGGTGCTGTGGGGCGAAAGGGCTTTTATTTCATCCACTGATGTTGAGTTCCTGCGGGGATGAGTCTGCTGCTACGTTTGCTGCTGCCGTTGCACTGTTCTTGTGGTGGCCAACTGGGGCTACAGCTGCAGCAGCTGCCTGCAGTGTCCGTCTTCGTGTGCGTGCGTCAGTTTCGCTTGCCAGCTGCGGCTCTTCGTAAGAGCGGTTGCCGCTACTGCTGTTGCTGCTCCTGTTTCTGCTGCTGCAGGACGAGATAATCCCGGTGTCTCATTCACGGCGTTTGTTGTCGACCGCCCCGAACTCCGCTGTTCTGCGCGTGTCGCACCTGCCGCCCCACGCGAACCACTCAGTTGGCCTGGAACCCGCAGGTTTGCTGCTCCTGCTGCTACTTGTGCTGCTGGTGATGCTGCTGCCGGTGGTGGTGGTGCTGCTGCTGGGGCTGCTGTTACTGCTGCTTTTTGCTGCCGCTCCTATTGGTAGTGCTCTCGCTGCTACCGCAGCTGTGGGTACGGTTGCTGCTGCGTTAAGAGGGAGTGTGCTCCTCCTCGGCAACGGATCGCAGCGGATGCAGGCGAGCGTGAGTTGCTGCAGTTGACTTGGTGATTCTGATGCTACTGCTGCTGTTTGTGGATGCAGCAATGAAGGAAGAGGTGCTGCAACCGCTTCTGCTGTTTCTTCGGAAGGTACGGTGTGCCGCTCGGCTGAAGAGGCAGCAGCAGCTGCACCACAAGAAGCATCTTGAGGCACAAGCAAGGAGAGCAGCAGCAGCCAATGCAGCGGCAACGGCTGTGGCTGCAGCTGCTGCTGACTCTCTTGTGGGGCACCTGCAGCCTCAGGTATCTCGTCTGCTTCGCGAGAGGACCAGCTGCGTAGGCAGATGGCAGTCGCAGCAGCAGCAGCACCAGCAAGCGCAGCAGCAGCAGAGGCGGCTCCAGCATTCTGAAAAGACAGCAGGAACAGGTAGTGTCTCGACTAGGCACTGTATCAGAGCTCCTGTTGCAGCGCGCAGCATCGGCAGCAGCAGCAGCATCAAGCGTCACCACTCCGTTGAACCTCGGCTCATGCGGCCGCTTGCTATGCAGCTTGCTGCTTCCTTGCAGCAGCAGCAGCAGCAGCAGCCATTGGTGCACCACCGTTCCCTCAGGCTCTTCTGCACCAGCAGGTTAGAAGCCAGCAACAGCAGCACTGACGATGACACCTTGGCAGAGAAGGTGCAGCAGCTGCAAAGAGGCGGCGCGGGCCGCGACCGTTCAGGGACATTAAATCACACTGCAGCAGCAGCAGCAACAGAAGCGACACTGTCAGAGGCCTCTGACGCTGTAGCAACCGCAACGTCAGCAGCAGAAGCCAATGTGGCGGAGGTACGGCTTCCCCAGGCCTTCTTCGGCGACTCTGACGGGGAGACTTCTCCTGCAGCTGCTGCAGTAGCAGCAGCGGCAGCAGCGAGCGCTGACTTCCTGGGAGGCGACAGTTTAGACTCGGGAGCAATGCCAACTGCCTCTACAGCGGCATCGGCAGCAGCGGCAGCAACAGACCGGATAAATGCAGCACGAGCTTTTCTCGCAACCGAAGCAAAAATCCACAGGCGGCTGCTGCTGGCCTGCAGACATATCCAGCAGCAACAGCGCCAGTCTATGGCGCGACCAAGCACATTCTTTAAACCTGGAGCAGCAGCAGCAACCCCAGCTGGTGGTTTGGCTGCTTCTTTTGCCACATCGCCTGAAGTCACTAGGCGTCTGGGGAGCGTAGGCGAAGCAGCAGGTGCAGCAGCAACAGCAGTAGCCCCTGCAGGGATCGCTGCTGCTGCTGTCGGGTCTACGCATCCAGCAAGACCGCTTGGAACCGCCGGCGCAGGTACAAGTGCAGCAGGAGCAGCAGCCGCGGGAAGGGGTATAAGGGCCCCTCATCTTCCAGCTGTGTGCCCGTATGTGAAAAGCAGCAGCAGCACCAGCAATAGAACAGCAGCAGCAGCAACAGCGGCAGCTGCTGCCAAGAAGTTCCTCTCGAGACAGAGGTTGTGTCACTCTGCTGCTTTCGGAGATATCTCCATCCGAAAGCAACCGCCGCAGCAACAGCAGCAGTATGAGGAGCATCAGCAGCTGCAGCAGCAGCAGAAACACCACCCGCAGCGTAGAATCTTATACTCTCGCAGAACAATTGGCTCCTCAGCAGCAAGGGCTGTCTCATTAGCACCCGGCAATAGGTTCTGGGGCACCACCGCACAGCAGGAGCATTAGCAGCAGCAGCACTTGCTGCAGCAGCAGCAGCGTGTGAGACCTACCCAGCGAAAAAGCTCAAGAACTCATGCGCCCATTTCTATGCGGCTCCATCATCATCATCATCAGCAGCAACAACAGTGGGAGCAGCTGGAGCGGCAGTTGTAAATCCACCACCAGCAGAAGCAGCTGTACTGGCAGCCGCAGCAGCAGTTTCCCAGAGGGCCAGCGCTGGATCAGGCGTGAGCAGCAGGTGTATATCCCGGAACAGCCTGAGGTAAACACTACATCTACGTCGGACGATTGCTAGCTGTTTGTACCCCCCAGTGCCACTGGAGTCGTGTAGGGAAGGCCTGGCATGTATAAGCAGCCGGTTTTTTTCCTTGCAAGCGCTGCGGCATCTGCTGTTTTTCGGCGGTGGCTCTGATGCTGACACACTGTCCGTATAGCGGCAGCAGCAGCAATCGGGACGGACGCCCTCAAGCAAGGAGCAGCTGCTGCTGCAGCAGATGGTCGCCAGGAGAGCTGCTGTTGCATCGGCAGGAGCAGCAGGATTTGGCCTGCAGCTTCCATCCCTCTGCTACTGACTTTTGACACTGCTTGCAGACGCTGGTGCAGCAGCCCGAGCCCGCGAGAGCAGCAGCTGCTGCTGCATGCACTGCGGTAGCAGCAGCAGCAACAGCAACAGCAAGGCTATGGAAGCAACCCTTGCGTCGGATGGTGTTGGCCCAGCAGCAGCATTGCCTGCAAGGGTTCTTAGCAAGGCGTTACTGCTGCTGCCTCCGCGACAGCTGGCGAATTTGTGGCGGACCGTTTGTGCGATATTGGGCACTGCAGCTTGCCCATTGAGCGGTGGCCGATGCTGCTGATACTGGTTTTGCTGCTACTTTTGCTGATGCTGCTGAGGCAGCGGGTGCGTCTGCGGGGCTGTTTCGTTCCACCCGTAGTTGAAGCAGCGATAGAAAAAACAACAGCAGCAACAGCAGCAAGCTGTCGGGGAGACCTGGGTCTGCATGTGGAGATTTGGGGCAGCTGGCGGACAGGAGCAGAAGCAGTTGCAGTCTCACGATTTCTGCTCTGAGGCAGCAGTAACCTGCAACTGGTGCTGCAGCAGACGATGTTCCGACTGATGGTCGTGCAGCAACAGCAGCAAGCGCAGCAGCAACAGTCGACGCCAATCGAAGGCGGCCGAGGGAGAGATGGAGGCCGATGCGTGTGCTGCATCAGCAGCAGCGCACGAGCAGCAGCAGCTGATATGTCTGCTGAGCTTGCAGGTGGACTTGTATGTTGCAGCAGAAGCACCGCAAGAGCAGCAGCAGCTGCCGCTGATGTGCCTGCTGCTACGGCTTGGTTTTTAGGTAAAGCATCTTGTGGAGTCGTGCTGACTGAGTGCATATTGCTGCATCTTGCGGCCGCCTTCCAGCTATTCAGACTCTAGAAACGCAGCCGCAGCGCCTACAGCAGCAGAAGCTGCAACAGTTGCAGCAGCGTAGTGGAGGTGGGGTCATCCGCAGATTCATAGAGCCTGCAGACCCCATGGGTAGAAGAAGGAGGCGAGAGAGAGCATCGGTATATTTAGTACTGATATATATACTGATATGTACACCTAAAGGCTTGCGCATATATACATTTACGTCCTTCGTAGAGGATTTAGGTGCCTTGTTTGCATAGGGCTTAAAGATGCATCTATAGGACTTGACAGCAGAAGTAGGCCTTGTGCTTTGGTCTCATCTGTAGGCCGCTTGAATGGGTTGAGGACGCCATATTGGAGCGGTGCCTCCCGAAGAAAGGGCGCTGCTATGATTAGCAGGCAGAGTTGCTGCTGCAGCAACCCCTCCGAGCTGTAGCAGCAGCAGCGCCGCTGGTAGAGGGTCACCTGGCTGCTGCGAGGGGCCTCCCGCTAGTGCATACTGAACCGAAAATATTGCTGAAACAAGTTAAACCCTAGCCAGTAAAACTTGCCATGTAGCCGTCCAGGTAGCTGCTGAAGACTATATCTGTCTGCCCCCCACTGGTCCCGACTTGGGTCTGCTCTATTAGTTGGGTCAGCTCTATTAGTTGGGTTCGGGGGTTTTCGCATGGGCTCATTCCCTGCAACAAACTGCTATATTGCAAACCCTAAGCAATGCAATCTAAACCCTCAAGAAGCAGATATTGTAATTGCATGCTTGCCTGTTGCTGCTGCTGCTGGCACCGCAGGGCCTGAGGCCACCCACTCCCCACTTCAGGAAGTGCGCAGTATTGAATTCTTCCTTAGCCTTAGACAGTTGCTAGGAAAACTGCTTTGCATACCTGCTTACAAATGCATGGCTCCACCAGCAGCGGCGAATGCAGGGTGTAGCGGCCTGGCTGCTGTTCCTGCTGCTGCTGCGACGACAACCGGCCAGAATGTTTGCTGCTACGGCTCGACGCCCCTGTTCCTTCATAGGGTTAGGCGCCACTAAACTGCATCCATTGTTGCAGAAGCAGCTGCTTCAGGTGCGGTCTCCCGTCAGATTTAGCAGTCCCACACGGGCTCCAACTGCAAGGGTTACGCGGCAGCTGCTGCAGCAACAGCAGCAGCAACAGAGGCACCATGGTGTGGCCCACCCCGCTGGTGCTGATTCTGTTGCTGCTGTGATCAGTCGGTTTGTTGCTGCCTGCCGAAGTTTCGAGCGGCACCAGGGACAGCAACGCGAGCACGAGCTGCGGCAGCAACGGCAAGCCATAGAAGCAGGCACTGCGGAGTATCTATTGGCAGCAAGAGCAGCAGTTGCTGCAGCTCCTGTTGCGTGTATTCAGGCTGCGCTGCAGGCCGTGCAGCAGCAGTCGCTGCCGTTGTCCCTGCTGTTACCAATTGCTGACGCCTTCTACGCTGCAGCAGAGGAGCGGATCCAGCAGGAGGAGGATCTGGCACTGCTTAACCGGCAGCAGCAACAGCAGCAGCAGCGGCAGTCCGCAGAGGACCTCTTGCAGCTCGCTTTGCTGCTGCAGCCGCGCGCTTTTGTTTTAGGTGGGAAGCAGCAGCAGCAACAGATAGAAGAGCTGCTGTTGCTGTTACCGCCGCAAACACGGCAGCGGCAAAAGCAGTCCCTTAAAGCTGCATTGCAGCTTCTGGCTCGCCTTCTGCTCCGTGAGTCCCCGCTGCTGCTGCGGGAGTCGGTGCTTGCAAGGGCGTTGTTGCAGGCCTCCGACCAGGGACTGCAGCACCTGGTGCAGCACGCAGCTGCGAATTCTTTAAGGGACTGCACTGAGAACAGAAGAATTAGCAGCAGCTGCTACAACGCACGTGTGGCGCTTGGAGCAGCGTTATTACGTTCATGTGCAGCTGGTAAGCCGTCTAAAGAGGTAGTCAATGCGGCAGTCGCGTTCCTCACCCCTGCTGCTGCTGCTGCTGCTGCTGAATCCCGGTCAGGCAGCGAATACTCGCTGCAGCAGCAACAGCAGCAACTTGCTGCGTGGTGTGACGTCGCTGCTGCCTTATGCATGAAGCTGCAGCAGGCGCAGCTGTTGCAGCATTTGCTCCCGGCTGTGCAGGCAGCTATCTGTGCTTCTCTGTGTCGACTGCAGCAGCGGCAGCAGCAGACAGGAGTGGAGACGGTAGACAGCGCAGCCCGCCAGCTGGAGCCGGCAGCAGCAGCGCTTGTACTGGTTCGTGCGAGGGCTGCCTTTGCGGCAGATGCTGCAAGAGCAGCTGCAACGGGAGGCGACCCTGCAGCAACAACACGAGCAGACAGGATATCTACTGCTAACCCAAACCCAAAGACCGAATTATTTTCGAGGGCCCTAAAAGGCTTAGCTCAGCAGCATTATCAACGACAACAACAGGAACGCAGCGGAGAACTGGCTGCTGCAGTATCAGCGCTGCAGGAAGCGTTTTTGCGACTATGGCGGCAGCTGCAACAACAACAGCAACAGCAGCAGCAACGCCGCGCGACGCATCGTCCTCACCCATCATCTCCCTTCAGTTGCGGCACCGGTTCAGCAGAAGACGCAGCTGCAGCAGCTGCAGTGGCAAAAACAGTTGGGACAGCAACAGAAGCAAGCACTCCCACATCTTCTCAAGCAACAACCGACTTGGAGGCAGTGCTGCTGGGTCTGCTGCAGAAGCTGCTTCTGCTTGCCGATATTCCTCAACAGCAGCAGCTAAGCGAATTCTTGAACTGCATCTCTCGGGAGGTGCTGCCCGCATGTGACCTGCAGCAGGCTTTGTTGCTGCTGCAGTGCACAGTGCAACTGCTAGAGTGCTCTCAGCTGCAGCAGCAGCAGCATCAGCCGACCCTTCACCTGGGGTCATTTGTTGATTCTCTGCTTCTGGCAGTTGTCCGGGGTATAAAGAGGCATAAGCGCGACAACAGCAGCAGCAGCACCGGCAGCTCCAGCAGACTCCGCGGGCTAGGGTTCCTCGCAGACACTCTCTTTTCCCCGTCACTGAAACGGCATCTGCTGCTTCCTGGTTGTGGTAGTGATGCTGCTGATGCTGCAGCGTCAGCCCTAGTTGATCAGTTGCAGTTCGAGATCCAGCTGCTACACCGTCAGCAGCACCTGGGCATAAAGCATCGGGTGGCACTGCAGGAGCAAGTCGTGCTTGCAGTTCTTAGGACAGTGTGCGGGGCTCATTCTGTGAGTCATTGTTGGTTTGTCTTCTGTCTCCTGTATGCTCTCTTTGACGCTGTTACCGATGCTGCCTCGTGTTTGCTACCTGGGGGACTGCTGCTGCTGCTGTCCTGCAGGTGCTGCTAGAAGGGGGAGGCCTACTCGCTGAAGGTGTGGTTTGGTTCGTGTGTTACTGTTGTGCTGCTACTGCGAGTGCTGCTGCTCCGCTGTTGTGCTGCAGATTGGCGAAAGCAAGAGCGCTGTGCAACCGGCAGCAGCAGGGCCGGGTGAAGTAGCTCAAAGTGGAGCAGCAGCAGCAGCAGCAGCACCAGCAGACATTTTCCGTTTCTCTTGCTGCAGCCCACAGATGCTGCGGGTGCTCACCGAAACGATGATTTTGCTACACAGTACCGGGGAGGCAGTCGTTGCTGTAGCAGCAAGGGCTTCCACGCCGGAAGCAGCGGCTGCTGAATCGCAGCAGCAGCCGCACTTCCAAGCTGCAGCGGCACAAGCAGTGAAAAGGCACTCCAATAGTTTAGTCCTTGCTGCTGCTGCTCTCGCGCGGTGCCTGCAGTACAGCAGCACCGGCGACCCCGCGATTGTGCAGGTTCGCTGTTGCTGCTGCTGGTGTTGCATTTTCCCGCTTTTCTTGCCGCTGCTGCTATTCGTTAACCGGCAGCGTCAAGGGGAGCGACTGCAGAATGGTTCAGCAGTTGCACCAGCTGCAGGAGTTGCTGCAGGCCCCAAGTGTTGTTGCAGCTGGTGCTCGCACTACTGCTGCACCTGATCTACTGATTCGTGCTGCAAATGTTGCTGCTGCTGCGCGGTTCAGGAACGCTGGGGCGTCTTTGGTCTCCTTGCTAGGCTGTATGACTCTGCTGCATACTTCTTCTCGCGGTGCAACGGCGCTGCCGCAGCAGCCGACGCAACGGCGGCCTTAACTGCAGAGCAGGTCAGCTTGGTACTGATGGTGCAGCTACCGATGTCGGTACAACGGCATGTGGGGCTGCCTCTACTTGTGCTGCTGCTGCCGCTTCACGGACTTCACTGCTGTTGTGGGTACTAGCAGCTAGGCTGTGTGGGTTGCTGCTGTTGTGTGTTGTCTTGCAGGTGCTCGTGCTACTTCAGTGCCATTTGCTCCTTTTAGAGGGCTGTATGCAGCAGCAGCTTCTGGTCGGCGCAGGAACAGAACTAGCTACCGCTTTTGCGGGTACCTCTTTTGGGGGTAGCATGCCGCAGACAACAGCAGCAGCTGTTGCTGCAGCAGCAGCAGCCACGCGTTCCCCCGCTGCCGAGCGGCTGCTGCGAGGCATTCAAAGGGGCCTCCGCTCGTGCAGTCTGCGGACGGAGTCTCTCGAAGGTCGGCGTGTGCCAGTTTCAGTCAGCTGCTACTGCAGACGTTGCTGCTTCTGCTGCCCCACAATTTGCTTGACTGTGTGTCGTTGCGTGCGTGTTCCTGGCCCAGCATCAACTGCTGCTGCTAAGCTGGCGGATGGTGCTGCTGTTTCTCTTCCTGCCACACCCCACAGAAGCTGCGTTCTGTTGCGGGGCGAGCGGAGCTTTCCTTTTTTGTTTTTCTGTGTGCAGTTGTTGGGGCGGCCACACACCTGCTAGGCAAGATTCAGAGTGTCGCTCAACAAGGTTAGAAATTTACATGCAGCTGCAGCAGCAGAGTGCGCAGGAAGCTGTTGCTCACTCTTTCCCCCAGAAGAAAGCTTTTATAAGCGCAGCTGCCGATGCGCATCCCGCGATGATGCAGCACTGCAGCAGCAGCTGCTGCTGCATCTGCGGCTCACGTGGCTGTGCATGTGGTGTTCGCTTCATGTGCCACTGTGGATGATGCAGGGTCATCTACTGGATCGACTGGAGCAGCAGCGCAGCAGCAACAAAGGTCTCTAGCAGAGCGCATCATTGGATGGCTGCGTCCCTGGTTGCAACACCGTGTCCAAAGAGACGCCTTTTCAGAATGACGTACCTCAAAAAAGCGTCTTGTGAGCTCCTTTTCCCAATAGGTACTATTGCCAGACTGTTACCACTGCCATGAGACTGCTTCCCGACGAACCAGCAGAGCGGGCGCTGAAAGTAGCACCCCGACACATTAACTAGGGTCACTGGCGCCGGAGGGCTTCCTTGAATTTGTTTTCACTGGGGTTGCGTTTGCTCCTTCCCGTTCGTTTTTGACTGGCTTTGTAATTTGCTGATTTTTGAAAGATGCGCTGCTGCTGCTGAGCCAGAGGCTAGCCTGAATCTGCAGCAGTAGCAACCGCAGCACCGGGTAGTGCGGAAGTTTTGCAGGCGTCGTGTATCTAGGGCTCTTGTGCGTCTAGCAGCAATATTGGCAAGTACAAACACTCATTTAATTTGGCGAAATTGGTTTGAATTCAACGAAAGATGTCGTTTGCTATAGCGCTCCGGTCCAGGGCTACCAGCCCAGGACCGTCGGCAGCGGACCGTTAGCCAGGCAGCCATCTATCGGGATGCCTTATTAGGCAGTCTTTTGCAGCGTTCTTAGCAATCTTATATGCTGTTTTTAATTTTATTTTTACTTAAGGCCCATATATCCTACGACGGAAACTGTATTCTGCTGTCGTAGTATTCTAGCCCTTGGCCTCGACAAGCATAGCGCCTGGCATCGCTGGCGAGGAGACAACTCAAAACCTGTGGTCCCTTCAGCTTCATAACACCAATTGAAAGGAAGCATACAAACACTCATATGGTTCAAGCTTTCAGTGCACGCTAGTGTATATATACAGTCAGCTAGCCCGCCATTTGCTGCGATGGGTTGCTGGAGCACGCAGCAGCAACAGCTGCAGCGGGTGCTGCTGCTTATATTCCTCTTAAACGCTGTGACAGCGCATGCACTCCGGAGCAAGCCGCCGCAGAAACAGATGTACCTGGGGGTTGATCAGGAGGCAGCCCTACAGATCAGCAAGACAGACAGCGCAACCGGCACCCCGCTCTGTTTGTCGTTGCTGCAGCAGCGTCAAGCACCAAGTCACTTCGAAGTTCCATTTGCAGGACCAGACGCAGTACAAACTACCGACAAGAAGGCCATGCCATCTTTCCTTCAGCACAGTGAGAGGCTAATTTCCTGCCGAAATGGAACTACCTAGCAGCGCAGTGGACCCACCTACGTAGTTCATGCTTGTCGCGCTGTGCCTCCTGTTTGCATAGGCGGATGGGTATTGCCAACGGAATCTAAACAAACCCGCGGTATGTTCAACTGGTACACAAACCCTTACACCTACGTCATCGTTGGGGGGATGGTCGGAGCCTTTGTTGGCTTGGGCGTATGGTGTATAGTAGCGTCGTACACGTACAAGGCCTGAGGGTGGCATGCAGTGACAGTGCATGGAACAGCAGACGTGTTGGATCATCTCGAACTGAACAGCAGCAGATTTCAGAAAGTAGCTGGTGATCCAGTGCTGTACTAGCTGCTCTGGCGGCAGCTCCGCACGTATGCTCACTCAATGCTGACGACGCAACCCGGGCTTTTGCATGTCTGATGCAAAACGTCCTAATATTTTTAGCACTTTAAACTATGGTAATATAACTTGAAAAATAGCGCGGCTGGTCCACAGCTAGCAAAAGCTTATGGCTGCGTATCGGTCTACAGGGATGCTCACGAAAAGCTGAGAATCCACGGGATACAATGAACGGGAACAGGCAACTGACCCCTAAGTGTATTGTCAACCTGCGCTCGCCTCAAATCCAACGCCACGCAGCCTGAACTCATACCTATCATTGTGCTGTATTTTCAACGTGCCTACGAGTTCTGAGGAAAAAGGAGGAGTCTGCATGCCTGGCAAAGACCACTCTAGATCCATAAAACTCCAGGGAGAAGTCTAGTCCTGCTAAGCTTCTTCAGTCTAGAAAAGCCTACACATGCTTCACCTAAAGGCAGCTAGTTCCAAAACATCTACCTCGTGGCGCTCCGTATGCCCTGCTGACTCTACAACAGGGCAGCTACCCTTGACCGGCATGGGGAGTTTGGCCGAAAGCTGAAAGGGCAAATCTAACCAGAAATATGCTGTGCCGGCCGGTTGGCACCTAAAACTACACCTACTATAGGTGATGACTCCTCAAAATGTGTCAAACAACGCTTGAAATGTTTTGAATTAAAACAAGGTTGGTGCTTCTGGACACCAATGTATCCCGCAGAGCGACATTATGAACGGATTTAAATGACGCCCCCGAGGAAAATGCCACTGCGTGTTTATTTGTAACGCACTTACTGTGGAAAGGGAAAAATGCAACGGCCTAGACCATTTGCTTTTGCGTTCCGAAGAGAAGGGCTGCTCGGAGTACAATGTACGCATGATAATTAACCCCACTGTGGGCGTCATTGGTTGGATCAACTAAAATGCCAACATGTAGCGGAAGCACCTGTGTACGCATAGGAAAGTGCTGCACGTTCCGCAAGAATCGCATCTATCCTAGGAGGGGTGGCCTACTTCCTGGATCACAAGCGGGATAAAAGCACCAACGTAAACGAGTTAGACATCAAAATCCACGACAATATCCAAGCCCTCGACGAAAAACACAAAGAAAAGCTGAAGTATCCCACTAATTAGTCACATCCTGCTTCTGTGGCAGCAGTTGATACTTCCAAAAATTCAACTGCCCGTCAAACGATGAACGAGCAAAACAGTACGAAAGTTTAAGAAAAAATATACAACGGTTCAGTAATAATAGCGAACAAACCCGGAGGTCAAAGGCTTGCTGTACACACTGGCGTACAGGTCCAAAGTGTGCATGGTACAACTGGTGTGATATGCCGTTGTTGCCGGCTTTCAAGAAGACGAACGAGAGAGCGGCTTGTATCTCTAGTGGAAAGCAAGCCTACTGCCTAAAATAGGTCAGCCTCCGATGCAAAATAGAAACAGATTGAAACTATGCGCTAAGACAAGACGGAATTACAATGTTGTGCCAACACAAAAGCAAACAAACCCACATATGAGCAGTTTGCATAGACACATGGACTACAGATTCCTAAAATGCAATGGTAAGCTATTTGTGTATATGGACAACCCCTGGCGAATCTGCCTTGAAAAACTGAAATAAGGGTTTGGTGGCAGTTGCTACGCTATTGTTCTGCTGTTCAGCAGTGGATTCACGTTCAGACGTACCGACTAGGCATCGTAAATTCGCCGGAAGGCCCACCCCACTGACATACCGCTATTGCTGGAGGATCATCCTAAGCAGAGGGCGACATATGGGAATTTCCTTTAGTGCAACAGATTGCGAGTTGTCAAAGACCCCAGGAAAAATTAGTCCACCCCGATTAACAATTACAATGCGTGTGCAGCCGGTCGCAATACGCACTGGCTGTTGAGAGGCTCGAGTTCCCGGTTCCGACTACGGCAATGAGGATTCGGACATCCACGAAATGACACATCCCGCGAGTGCGATCACCGATAATGGACATTTGCATTTTTGGCAAGCGCACTCCCTGCACGTTGACAGCACAGGCCTGCCGCCGACACACAGCATGCCGAGGTGGTGACGCATCCCAAAGCTAGCGGCACGAAACATATCTGGCGTTTGGTTAGTTTGATGTGCCTTCAATGTTCATGATCTTTTAAAATGAATGGAACGGTCAAGCGCTTTCCTGTACAATAATCCAGAGGACAAAGGAACGCCTTCAGAATGAAACCGAGGGCTTGTCAACCCCCCCTAAAAAGGATGTGGCATACTGGCTGCGCGCAAGCAAACAAAATGACGTATAAGAGGGTCGCTATGAATGCTTTTCCGTTTAAGGGGAAAAGTCTCCTTTGCTCAAGTCGGCAGGCACTGACGCAGAAGAAATATACGCCGTGCTAAACATGTAGCGTACTGCCTGTTTTCCGCAGAGAAGCATCGCGAAGTAAGACTGAAAACCACGAAAATGTGCACCTAAGCGGTGTTGAAGGATCGACGCAGTCTCCCCTTCGAACTCCGTGTCCGTTATGCAAGGCATACCATGAATGACTCGAAGAACGCGGTGAAATGCCATGACGCCTACAGAAAAGTATGCAAACTAAACATGTAGAAACGCAGATAATTGGATACAACGACCGCCGAACGCGACCGCATAACATCCTTGCACGACAAAACAAAAAATAAAAAAACGCTTGACCAAGTGCATCAAGGTGACATACAGACTGCACGCCAAATCAATACACTAAAATGAAATGCGGGGATTCCACATGTGCAAGAAAGTCACCTGGAAAGTCCTTGTGTTCATAAACCATTTCATTTGGAGCAGGCAACTACAAAAGTACAGCTACTATTTGGCACAGATTTTGACTGCAATCCTTGCATGAGGTCGAATAAAGTTTTGCGAAGGGATGGGCGCTTTTAAGGTGCATGCAGGTATAAAGGCAGCGTACTCTCTGCAGAATGCGAAATCCAATTCGAATTGCAGACCCGCATTAACTCTAGCAAGGAAAGCTACCACGCTTGCTGCAGATACTGTGCCGTGTACGGGAGTCTGATCACCAATATTTTGTTTTGCTTCACCCCTTTGCGCAAACTAGCAACCAATTAACTCACCCACTATTTGAATGAACCCGCTTCAACAGCCACGCATCTGCCTTCCGATTAACATGGAACAGCACAGATCTCCCGTGTCTACGCTAACAATCGGCTGTGCATCAGAAAAACT